CACACACACACACACACACACTCATATCTGCAGAACACGGCACATACTTCTAACATTAAAGTCACCGGTGACATTTAGCAATGGTCCTGATATCAAATATTATTTCGTTATCTGGACATAATTTATACAATTTCATCTTTGAAGACAAAAAACGTATAGTTTGAAGCAAAACATTTTTCATCAACTGATGTAAAATACATCTGATGTGTGTGGCGTCTTCTACACACATGCATTTCTATTACATATGTGAGTGTAAATACTTTCTGTGAGTAGATAATTAGCAGATACAGTAATTGGCTGTACAGTTACTCTTTGACTACTAACGCTTACTGGCTTCTGCTTGTTTCAGGCTCTCATTAAATGCAAATTTATGCACAAACATTAGTTTTGCTAGTGGACGTTGGAGAGTGTATTTTCCCCGCTGCTCTATTTTAGGCGTTCCATTAACATGCCTGAAAACCACTGAGAGGGACAAACTTGAGCTTTTGTGGTGATGACGTTGCGTGTGCGCTTGACACAAGGTCAGATTTCTTGCACCTGATTTCTGCCACTTCACGAGGAGACGCGGGCCATGGAAGACGAGCAGGGGGCAGCTCGCCGTCCCACTTAATCTGCGTTAATGTATTTGAACAGGAGAGCAAGTGGTGAGGAGGTGCATGTGAGCCGCGGTGCATGGCTGGTGATGAATGGAATGTTGTAGAATGAATCAAAGAGGAGAACAGCAGCCTCTGTAGGCAGCCGAGAGGAGGGGAGAGGAGCAGGGTCATGCAGGGGCGGGTTTAAAAGCTCCGACTAATAGCTTGTGTAAGTCAATGTTAGTGGGTCAGTCTGTCCCAAATAAATAAATAAACAGCCGCACAAATGACATTGTTCAACGCAGCGGGGACGTCAGTGTGTGTGTGTTGTGTATGTGTTGTGAGGTTTACTCAGTCGGTGGAGCAACAGTGGGCCACACCACAGATCCCCTGATCCCCTAATCTGTTTAGTGCCAAGTGGCTTACAGTTTTATTAAGAATTATGTGTTTCTCTTTGAGACAGAACAGTTTCTGGAGAAAATCTCATTTTGTGATCAAGACTTAATTGTTTTGTTATTTGGCGAGTCCAGTTAAAGGCCTAAAGCTTCTACAGTTAACAAAATGGGGCGACAGAGACAATTTAAGGCCTTTACTCAAAGCGGAGCCTACCCACTCCCACTATGTCATGAAGTGTAACTCTCAGATATAAATACAGTGGAAAGCTTCAGAATGAGCTTCCTTCTCTCTGGCCAAAACGGGCACTGTCGTAACTTTTAGTAACCAAATAAAACACACTGTGTTTTTGTAAACATCCTCTGGTTTTGTAACTCTGGCTTTCATAAACTGTTTGGGTTTTACAACCAATTCATTAAAATGTTACAGTACGGAGCCAAACCCCAACATACATCTCAAGGTGCTACACAAAGAGAGGTCGAGACGAGACCAAGAGTTCCCACAACGAGCAAACACTTGGAAACTGTGGAGAGAAACCTCCAGCAGAACCAGACTCAACCATTTGCCTCGACTGGTTGGGGTGAGAAAAGGGGGAGACAGGAGAGAGGGGGTGTAGACCAGTGTTACGTCCCCAATAGTTATGTAACCGTCATATTTAAGTAATTTAAGCTCCACCAGACTAATAACAATGATAATGATGATGATACCATTAGATGTAATTATGTTATTGATGATAGCACATACTATCTATGTAACATAAGGGTGTGTATTTGTGTGTGTGTGTGAATGTGGGGGAGAGATTAGTCTCTGTTTGCGTGAGAAGAGCCGAGAGGGGTTAATTATTCCTATAAGAGGAATTATGAGGTTGAAGGCAAATATTTATTGGCTGACAGTTGGTATGATTTTAAGAGGAAATAGTGTCTAGCATCAGAAGCCAAGAGAGGGTGTCGCCAAGTTCAGAAATCTTTTCTAATGAGATGGTTCTTCAGATAATAAGCAGTTTCAATCACTGGAGTTGAAAGGTTGAAGAAAACAATCAAACCTGCTCTTCTCGTTTGCAGTTAATGGCCCTAATAGAATCCACTAAAAGTGTAATTGTTATGACTTAACATAAATGCAAATTAAAACCGGTTCGGCTTTTTGGATTTTGGCTCAAACACTTCCAGGCCATGCCACTCTTCCCCTGCTTTGTGTCAGCCTTCATCTCACGCTCACACACACACGCACACGCACACACACGTGTCAGTAATTATCACCCTCTCCTCTGCTGTGCCACACCCACTCCCTCGCAGGTGTTAGCCAATCACACCCTATTCTGTGGAAAGGAGGAGTCTGCTGCATCTGTTTTGAATCGATGCTGCAAGAATAAGGTTCAGACTCAGGCCACTTTATCAATATATTACATATACATATGTACTGAGTAACATACTGTATACCACGGACGTAGAAATATACTGAAAAACTGCTTTCAGTTCCATCTGTTCATGGATCCGTCCCTGATATTTTTTAACAATGACGTCTTCACTGCATTTGTTCTTGACAAATTCCCCAAAATGTCATGATTTGAAAAACTATTTCTGAATCTGACCCCTTAAATCAAACCAGTCCAAACTTTTACCGAGTTTCAAGAAAACCTGTTCTGTAGTTATTGTGTAAAAACAGACAAACAGCAGTGAAAGCACGACCTCAAGATAGATAGATTACTTTATTCATCCCCAGAGGGAAATTAGGTAAAAGAGGCTGATTTTGTTCTCTGTATTATTTCTTTAGAAATTCACAAAAATGTGAATCTGTCCCCTTAATTTGATCCGCTCTTAAAGTGAATGCGTTCCTACACGGCTTTACCCCCCCCCTCCCCCAATCAAGTTTCAAAAACATGCTGTTTGTTTTTATCAGTGAAGAGAGCTAACGCTTCATGTACCTGATGGAAACTTTTCAATCTATAGTCTAAACTGCAGTCGCAGTGACGGCTGCATCGCTGGCTGCCATCGACACAGACAGGAACCACATGTGAGCAGTGAGTTTGGAGGCTGGACAGCTGAATTCTCTCAGTCAGCTGTGGCAAATTAAACAGCCTCAGATTTTCTTTTTACAAGAAAATGTCAATGTCACTTATTTCAGATGCTTTGTGGTCTAGTCTTCATTTGTCAATAACACCGTCTGTCCTTGTCTCCAAACTACAGTTAATTCCATTCAGTTAATTTTCTTTGTGTAGCGTCTAATCCCAACATGCATTTCTGCTGCAGTACAATTTATGTCGTGTCACTGTTCCCCTGTCAGTTCAGCTGTCAATCAAACACATGCGCTGGACCACCCACCAAAAGGCTGAGAGCTGAAAGTGCATTTTTGATGAATCTGTGTAGATGTTTTTCCTTTTATTGCTTAATATTATAAAACATTATTATTTTTAAATGCTGTAAAATAGGAAATAAGTGATTTTTATTTCAGATTTGTTTGGACACACTTTCCTTACCAAATAAAACCGCATCAGCTTCTGGTTTCCCTCAGCCAAAGGTGAACCTGAACCTTTTCCTCCCTTCGCTCCTCGCTCCCTCCTGAATCTTTTACCATAGAAACAGACAGAGAGGGAGAGAGAGAGAGACAGAGTTCAACACTGAGAGAGAGAAAGATGGAAGGAGAACCAGAGTGAGGGAGCGAGATAGAGAGATGTAGAGAAGATGAGAAGGAGAGAGCGAGAAGGAAGGAAGGAGAGAGACTGCTGCCAGTTTTTTTTTTTTTTTTTCTTGCCCTCCCCAAACCAGCAGCTCATTTTGGGAAGTGATTCAGCAAAATTGATTTCAGGAAGAGAGTGCGAGAGGTGGAGGGAGAGAGGGAGGGAGAGAGAGAGAGAGAGAGAGAGAGAGAAAACGTGTGGAGACTTTAGAAACTCTAGCTCAAAGTTGCATTAGATGATGTTATGCTGCACTTTGTGAAACTGCTCACATACTCTGCTGAGGACACAGGTCCACTCAGACGTCGTCACCGTTTGTCACTTATTTATCGAGCTGACAGCTGCACAGTAAATACTGTAAATCTTTATCCTGTGCTTTGATGGGAACATTATGCACTTGATTTCAATCCCCTGCTCCTCACCACCTTTTACAAAATGTTTAGTCTTGTTGTTGTTGTTGTTGTTGTTGTTGTTATCGGACTGAAGTCTCCGGCTCCAGCGCGTGCGTGTAATGATGCATGTTGTTGCTGTTTCTGTCTGTGAAACTCCCCACCTCTTTCAAGTCGAGCCACGCCACTTGCATCCAATTACTGTGGACTTGAAGTTGTGGTGATTTATGGGAGGGAAGATGGCACCTAATGCCAGAGATTCCCTGGAATCGGTGCCATCTGCAGAGCACATTCCTGATTGGTTCGTACCATGTAACCGCGCCAGTGTTTCTTTCATGTCTTGCAACCGAGAGATTGTTTCGCTGATAGAAATGTGAGAGACAAACGGGCGGAGCAAGAACGTGTTGAGTCACTAGAGTTTGGTAAACGTGTTCATATGGTAACATGCGCTCATGCACGTGTCATTTCTGTCAACGTGAATATAAAGAAAATTGCATGTTCTTCTTAGACTGGTTTCTGTGGGGACTGGAGTCGGATATGAGGGTCTTTGGTTTGCCTCAGTCTTGGAGAAGTGGTGCATCTGAGCTGTGATACTGTACGCAGCACTCTGCAATCTGGGGGGATTTTGTATTCTGCTCTCAGCCCAGATTCGCAGGATCCTCCTCTGCACTCTGTGGAAATATTGTTTCACTGGGCTGAACTCGTGTGATAGGAATAGAGTTGGGGAAGTCAATGAGGGTTTGTGGTTTGAACTGGGAGAATACTGAGCATGGATTAGAGCTGGAGGATAAATCAATGTCAATAAAATGTGATTTGCATCATTAGCAATATAACAAAAGTCCAACATGTGTTGATATATTGCTTCTGTGTTGTGTAGAGCAGTGAGGAGACACTGCTGTACGTTATTTTATAAAATGAAACTGAATTTGCTTTATTACTGTTCATGTATGTGGCCTATATGAAAGTTTGATTGATTGACTGCTGTTTTTTATACATTAAATGCCGATTTCAGAGGTTTTTTATTAAGAAAGTCACCTTCAGGCCCAAGTTCAAAACGTTTCAAAATAAAAGCTTTGTAATTCAGCTCAATATAAAGCAGAACATCTTGAAAATTAACATTGTTCTTTTACTCTGAAGACAAATTAAGAATCCAGAAGTGATTCTATGAATCCTGTTGCCATGACGGAGATCAGCACCCACGACTCCCGTTCGTGTCTTAGTCAGTCCGATTAAAAAATACCAAAAAATTAAATTAAATAAAGTCTCCAATCTGGAGCCAGATTTAACCAAGTTACCGACCACTGCTGTAGTTTATCCAAGGACTTAGAAGAAGATTCTACACTGTGCACAGACTGAAGGCACATCGCCACGCCCACACTGACTGCTACAGACCTCTGGTGATCATATCGCTCTGCGCAAGCATAGATTTGACCAATTACTAACACAATCTAATAAAAAGCCTCTGGAAGAAATTGTTATTTTTGTTAATTCTAAAAATTATCGCCTCTCCTATCTTTCTCCAGGGACCGCATGCAGCAGTCGGCCATGTACGACCTGTGTCTGGGCATGAGGCAGGTGAGCCAGGAGTTCTTGCGGCTGCAGCTCAGCTACGACGAGTTCCTCTCCATGAAGGTCCTTCTGCTTCTCAGCACAGGTAGGCAGCGAGCTCCGGGCCTGCACTACATCTAACAACCCGCTCACTCCGATTACGTTTTGTGCAGAATTACTTGCACCTCGTGCCAAAACCTGCCTGCAAGCACAATTAACTAACTATAATGAAATGTCATTTGAAAACCATTTATTGAAAAACATTGAAAACTAAGTGAAATTGCAAAGTGTTACTGTTCGGTAACACTGTGTATTATCACAGCACCAGATAACAGCTGTCACATTTTATATAAGAGACGCAACAAGGGACCAGTGGTGCCCTAGTTCAATCTGACCATCACACACCACTGCTTTCGGTAAACGCTGATGGTTGATGAGTCGATTAATGATTCTTTGTATTATTCTACATGCAGTTTCAGGTGGATGATTATCACGTATGTTCTCTCCAAGCCACCTTCTAGTTTTCTTCGCCAGGGATTTTGTTTTCATCTGCAGTTGTGTGTTAGTGTACGCAAATAATTTGTGGATGGACTTGATAACAATTTTTTTAGGGGACTGATATGAATGAATGTGTGCAACTTGGTGCAGATCCAAATAAAGATCTGGATCTAGAGAATTTAAAGTTGGTTTCATATGTGGACTGTTGGCGGATATATGTGCCCTGCCATTCTAGTTTTTCTGATTTCTATGAAATTTTGTTGAAGCCTAAACCAGGTTTCAAGGAAGAACCCTTTCAATTTAAGAGCGGATCAGTATAAACGGGTGGAACCAGGTTGAGCTTGGGCGTTAACTTTGGTGGAGGTGTGCACAGAGGCAGGTTGTTGATGTGATTTCATCACATTGTTCCTCTGTTGAGTGATCGACTGCTTTATCTGAACATGTCACCCATTAACAGAGTCACCAGAGCCACACTGTCTTCTATTTCAATAAGCTTCAAATCTGTGCTTTGTGACTGTGATGCTTACGCTGCACCATGAATCATCCATTACAGCGGCACCGTCGGACGCAGGATTCACCAGAATCCACGGTGCTGATGTTTACAGGTCACTGATAATTGGATAATTGGAGGCGTCTCTGTGTTTGTCTGCTCTTACAATATGATGCCTTTTATATTCCCAATCTCCCACATGAAAAAGTATTGAGAGGGTGTCTCTTCTATGTCCCTTCCACGTTTTCTCTCACATACATGCCTTTTTAAAGTCTGTTAGATTATGTGTTAAGCTCATTCTTAATAATCCATTAACGTGCATAACAGGCGTGGAGACAGAGTTGATGTAGCATGCACCTGCATAGTAAATCTCCCAGTGTTAAATATTCAGTGTCAAAGTATTTGGACTCATAGTTAATACAACAACAGCAAGAGTAAGACGCCCCCCAGAGCCTCCCAGTGATAAAAGATATTCAGAGTTAAAAGATGTGGTGTACAAAATATTCTTCTGGTGTAAACTATTCGGTGTCAAAGTACGCAAACTCTATGACAATAATGAAAAAGGTGAAAGGCTCCGCCCACCTCCTCCTCATTTCAAGCGAAGCAGAAGTTTCCAGACGCCATTTTCTCCTGGAGGAAAATGCAGTAAGTCTCCTCTCCTACTCACATTTTAAACATTTCCTGCCAGTTTAAAAAAAAGAGCACCATTTTAGACCAACTGCATTTTGTTGTTTCACTCCAGCTGGTTTTGTGTTATGAAATAGAGAAATTACAAAAGGGCTGAGTTAATCGCAAGCAAGACTTTGCTAATTCAAACTAAGTAGGTCAAACTAGATGATGTCAACAAGAAGTAGCGTTAACTGCTTGAAGATTGAAATGGGAAATTGCTTGTTGGAAGTTTAGTTAATTACAAATGTTTTTTCCTTTTGGAGAAAAATGGAAAGTTGGAAGAACTCTTCCTTTATCTCAGTTGTCTCCCATGTATGAAATTATTGTGGTGCAAAAATATTTTCCTGCAAAATTGAATCAACTGATACTCGTATATGTTTTAATCCTGCTCCTTTTATCCTCAGAGTGACACAAACATCCAGGAGCCAGTTGACGCCATCAAAAACAAAAAGAGGAGCACAATCCACAGGTTCTTCAGCTCGCACCGTGCAAGTCAAGAGCAGAGTTGCTTGATGTTTTCAATTCTTTATAATAAATTAAGAAATGGATAAAATGGTGTTTGTTGTATTTTGAAGTTGTATTTGTTTTACATGTAAGTGGAAAAGTAAAAACTTGCAAATCACTACATTTCATTTAGTTAAGTTCAAAATCAACTGGAGGTTGGAGAAATATCTTTAAACCCAGTTTAGTTAAAGGGATAGTTCACCAAAAAGCATTATATTCACTCATTATCTACTCACCACTGTGACGATGGAGGAGTGGGTGAAGGGTTTGAGTCTCAGGGAACCCTCCCTTTAAATGGGTTTAGCACTCACCGTGAGTAAATAAGTAAGAATGAACACAATGGATGTTATTTTGCTCACAATGTAAAACTCGATCACCACTTTGCATTGTTGTGTCGTGTAAATAATAGTAACACAATGTTCAGTCTAACTTTAACACTATGTAGACAGGGACCATATATATTCACTGACAAACCATTGACTCTTAAAGTGTTACATGAACACTGTGCAGCCACCTGCTGTGACTTCATTTTCCCATATTCTCTAAATGAAGACTAATCTGTTTTTATGTTTTATTGTATTTTACTTCCTACAGCCCATGGATAAACAGAATACTTCTATCACTCACTACAGAAGGTCTCACACTGTTGCCGCTCTCAGCCAAACTTCGCCTGCAGGCACTGCAGCCTCACAAGTTGCTCAAACTGAAACTGAAAAGCACTTTTTTTTTTGCCAGCACCACAATGCACTATGAGCTGCTACGATTAGGATTCTGTGATGGCAGCCGCGTCATAACTTTACTTTCCACATCCCGAATTACTGACAACCAATCAAAACCATAACCACGACACTTAAAGAGCCACAGGGACATCAAACTTGCCGCAGGGGTTTGATGTCCCCGCTTGTATTTTTGTTTACATGGGGCCTGGTTTGTGTCGATAGAAGTTCAATAGTTAGACAGAGACGGAGAGGTGAGGATGGGGGGGGGGGGTGTTGTGGAAAGGTATTTGAGGAGTCTGCACCCTGGCCAGACTTCTCTCTCTCTGAACCTCAGCACCAGTGCCAATCAGTGGAAATATTCATTGGCAGAGTTTTTATTTTTCAGTAAGTGAGGCCTCTGAAAGCGGTGCATGAAAGCTGGACTCATGAGGGGGCTCGGAAAACTTAATTCCTTCGTGCATGACAGTTTTAACCTTTTTTATTGTTTTTATTCTTATTGTTTGTAAGATTTTTTTATATGGGCTCAAATTAGGGTCTCTTTATATAATTATATATTTTCTACACATTTAAAAATATAAATTTATCATACAGACTTATTTCAGCGGTTTAGAAATTTTGATTTGATTTATATTTTGAAATTTCCCCAGTGTGGGATGAATAAAGTCGATCTTATCTTATCTTATCTTAAAACCTTTGACTTATTTGGACATAGCTCTAATTTGAGACCATAGTCACCTGTCAAAACTGTCAAAACTGATTTGTTTCCTTGACTCTTAACTAATCATGTGTTTTAATGAATACAAATTCACTTGAAATTATACTTGAAATCAGACGGAATAATGAAACTGTTTTTATTTTATTTTCATTTCATTTACTCCACTTTCAAATTAGAATTTATCCCACTAAGAATGTTCCGTTGGCTCTTATTCTGATTCAATTCTGATTTATATAGAAAAATTGAATCACAGTTTCCTTAGAAAAAGCAAAGGAAAGAAATAGCTGAATAGCAAAAAACTGCCCCACAACATTGTTTGACAAGTAGTTTCTAATTAATTTGAGAGTAGATTATACATAAAAACAAATTATGTCAAGAGAGATTAAACCGTTGGCTCCACACTTTTTTGGTTCATTAATCCTGCAAAGAAACAAGGTTCCTCTTGTGTTGTACTTACTGTAGTACATACAGTATACAGGGAAGTAAATATATAACATCTATGAGTAGAGACTGATACATTTCCCACAGCGATGGTATCAGGTTGGTTTTGGCTTTGTAGTACAGTGACATATGGAGGAGGTGGTGTGAAAGCATGATATAGAGTAACCTCAGTGTTGTTGAGTCATCTGGAAACAGGGGAGCTCCAGCTGGACTTCAGCTATTGGATGCTGGGAGAGATGAGGAGAGATGAGGAGAGATGAGGGGAGAGAAGATGAGAAACCAACGGGGGAAAAGGGAGATTTAAAGAGTGATATCAGACAAATGTTGACAGTGAGAGCTGGTGTTGGTGAGAAAGAGACAGGTGCATAGCTGTAGGGAGAAAGAAAGAGGAGACAAAGGGGTGGGGGGTGGGGGTCAGAGCTGGTCCTTCTGTTGCTGTGGCCTCGCTCTCCTCCTCTGGAGGTTTTCCAGAGAGCCCTGCTGTACTTAATAAAGGCCAGTCAAGCACCAGGCAGCGCTCCAAGACCTGATATTTTTCTCCACTTCCTTCAAAACCCCGAGCTGGAATTTCAAAGGGGAGGTGGTGGATAAAAGAAGCAGGTATAGAAACAGGGAACTCGAGGTACTTCAATCTGCTCTGGTTATTGGATTTAGTCAAAGTATATAGCAGTGAAATGTGAAGGAAGGTTGGTTTGTAATGTGTAGCAGAGAAGTTCCTGCAGTGCCTGGCCTTTCCAACGTCACACGATGGAGCAGGCGCGCTGTATGGAGGCTCAGAGACGCTTCAGAGAAAAAGCACTCGTGATTCAACACAACAAGCCGCACCGTCTGTGGGTTTTCTGCAGCGCTGTAGGAAGCTCTTTTAGTTACAGTCATTCAGTGATAATGTCAGGGCCTCGTGGAGCAAGCAGCATCAGAAATGTTTACATAGGAGTTGTCAGGACTTGTCAGCTGAGCAAGTACTACAGTGTGTGTGTGTGTGTGTGTGTGTGTGTGTGTGTGTGTTTGTGTGTGTGTGTGTGTTACACAGAGAGAGGGGGAACATGTGAAAGAGAGAAAAAGGAAGGAGGGATAAAGAGAAAAGAGAGAAGGGCTGTTATTCCTCTCTGACCTTGGCTAAGGTTTCACTGAGCCTGCGGCGTCTCATGACCCTGTTTGGATTTGGCACAGGAGCGGTGGCCTGCTCAAACCAGTTGCACTCCTCACCTCTGCACAGAAAGTCAACAGTGTTCATTTGATACTTTACCCGCTTTACGCTGGCGAGCCTCTTTCTGATTGGGCCCGACTGAAATGCTGTGATGATGGGCGCGTGTTTCCGTGAAACATCTTACACTTAATTAGGCAATTAAATTCAACTCCAACTGATCATTAGTCTTTTTTGATCATGTTTAAATTACAGTTTCCTGTTTGCCAACACCCTAAAGCTTCGCTCACTCCACTCGTCACTGTTCGTCTTAGTATTCCCCAAAGAGTAGAATCAGATATTAAATCAAACCAGACTGAGCCATCCTGTCAGTCAGGTATGCAGCAGCACTCCGAGCAGGAGGCTGCATGTGCTTCAACAACACACGCTAATAGCATCTCCTGGCTGCGTGAGCTATGTTTGCCTCTTTATTATATGTGCGTTCTGAAAAAATAGAGCTCTCATGGCCTTGTGGTGCACATAATAATGCAGGTGCACGCCACAATAATAAATATGGCCTAGTTAAAAGGACTCCATACCTGCAGCAGAAGATCCTTTCGACACTGATTACGGGTGTTTAAATGCCCTATTTTTTGGGGTTATGGTAAAACCGGTAAATGCCAGGTTAAATTCTATACAGGACGCATGTGGGTCAGTGGGAGAAAAACAAAAGGTCCGTACACGGGTGTGGATTTTAACACGTTCTCATCATGTCAGCTATGAAATAAAGCAAAAGAACTCGTGCCCCACACACAAGGGTCCAATCTGTTTTCATATCTGTTCTTCCTCGGCACGTTGTGTCACGCCCGAAGGTGTTTTGCATAAAACTACAATGAAGAAAATGAAATGGAAAGAGGCAGATAAACACACACACACACACACACACACACACACACACACACACACACACACACACACACTCCGAGTTATTGACCTATGCTCTCTTCTCAAAACGATGCAATCCTAACTGACATGAATTAGGCTTTTGCTCGCAGCTATTTGTTCTATACAACTCAAACAGGTCCTGTCACTTACTGTTTTTTTACACTGGTGTTACGAGTGGTTTCTGTTTCTGAGTATTTGAGGCATCATGGCCTCAAAAGTCCTGGAGAAGGAGTTTTTTTAAGAGCTGATTAAAATATTCTGCTGTAAACTGTATTTTTGAAAGTGTGAACAGTAGCTTCTCTAGCTTCTCTGTTGTAACAAGCTGTTTTTCAAAAACAAGCCCATACTGGATAGATGGATAGACAGATAGACAAATATATAGATGGATGGATGGACGGACAGATAGACAGATAGATAGATGGATGGATGGATGTCGTCATATCTTGAATATGTTTGTTGAAGGACAGTTGAAGGCCTTCCCTGATTATGATTGGAGGAGCGTTGTCTCTCTTTTCTCCCTCAGAGAGGTGAGGTTTCTTAATCTGGTTGCCAGCAGCTGAATGTCATTGTCAAGAGCGTTGGCAGATTTGCAAATCTGTGACTTTGTTCTCCTGCACAGGGAGAAAGATGTTGTAGACATTTTGTCGCACACTCGCCGTATCTCATCCCTCGCATCTGTCTGTTTCCCCACCTTTACTCTGCCTTTTATCAGAATAACACGAGTGAGGATCGCAGTTACTTAACAGCTCTGGTCATCGAACAAACTTCTTGATGAATGAGCTCTGGTTGACAAAATGATTAAGCTCTCTGACACACAGAAGCACTTTCCTTCCCCGTTTTTTTCCACTGTCACTGCTGCTGAGATAACTTTTAATCGAGGCCTTTCAGCATATCAGTCGTCTTTAATGAAACTGTGGCCATATGAAAACTAATCACCACTTGAAACAGTGAAAGTGGCTGTAATGAGCTGCTAAATAGGCTAACATGGGAAAAAAGTCCAAAACAGGCAACAGTGTGGGAGTGTAAACCACAGAGTAGCTTTAATTACCATCTACTCACGTTTGTACATTTAAGAAACATACAAGTGGTTGTACTTTTCATAGCCATTAACTTTTAATCAGAATTTGCATTTGTCAGCCATTTTTTAAAAGATACCATAAAGCTTCAGACTAATTTCCTTCATTACAGGTGAACATTTAACTCAGAGGGGCTTGAAACTTTTGTTATCAATGCTTAAATGTCTTTTTGAGCAACTCATGTGATGTGATCTGATGTTGATTTATAATATTTGTGGAAACTAGATGAGAATGTCTGTTTAGTTCATTCAAATACCCATGCAACAAATCAAAGTACTTCATGACATTGAAATCTCTCTGTGGTTAACATATCTCGAGTACCGTTCATATTATCGGCTTCACGCTTGACATGCGTGCTGTTAAGAGCCCATTTAAGTGCAGTGTCAAATATGATGTGATTTTGACACATGGTTCATTAATGTTAATAAACTTTGAAACAGTCGCCCAGCAGCAATTTACAGTTTCAGAACGAAAACTGCAACCAGCAACACCACGGGCTAACAAACAGCACAGTCCAAACAGACGAGATTATACCGCTCACTGTACTAGTACTATTAAAGTGATAACTACATCAGTATAAAAAGTACAGTATATTTCTCTATGTGAATCGTAGACTTTGTTTTTTCCTCCCTGACGATCATGTCACTAAAACAGTTTCTGGTAATCTCCAATAAACCTGTTCATTAAGCATGAAATCCATTTTTAAATCAGTACCCTGACCAGTTCATCCTCTCATTCAATCCAGCCGATGACAGTGCAGTTTGTCTGTATTTGTTTTACAGTTCCAAAGGAGGGTCTGAAGAACCAGGCAGCGTTCGAGGAGATGAGAGTTAATTACATCAAGGAGCTCCGGCGTTCAGTGGGAAAAGCAACCAACAACTCTGGCCAAACCTGGCAGCGCTTCTTCCAGCTCACCAAGCTACTGGACGCCATGCATGATGTAAGTACCCTCGCCCAACTGCCTCTCATGTGCCAACTGCCTACAGTACAGCACAGGCTTCCCTTGGCAGCATCTCCGCATGCCATGCCTTCACACACAGAGCGAGGTGTCCAGTGGCACTTTGGGGATCTAATATCACTGGAAATGTTTTCAGTAAAATGTCAGCATAGTGGATTTGGATGAGGCATGTACTTAGAGATTCAATGGTGCTGTGGCTTGGAATATAGGGATTACTGCATTCCACTCCCTCCCTGGGGGGGGGTGTTATTTTGGAAGAGGCGGTGACCAGGCTGCATCGGTGAATGGAACAGAAAGGGATCGATGCCATTTTGGAGTTTATTGGATCAGAGCACACAGTGGTCACTGTGGCAAATGTGCTGCATCACTGTTAGTTTTACTTATGCATGGGTCAACTGGAATATGGCATCAAGACAAAGTAGGCAAAGCCCCAAGAGGTGAGCATCAGCAAGCGAGAGGTCACAGAGATAAATGGCCAGAATTCATTGACCCCAATGACTGAGTGAATGGGGTTAGTGCTGAATGGATGACCCTTCTTTAAAGGAGGTTTGCCCTGAAAAACACCTGTGGTGCCCCCAAGTGGTGAACTGAAAAAGAATTAAAAATAAAGTGTAAACGCACTCATATGAATACACAGAACTGAATTTAAATCTTCTAACTTTTGTATTCAAGTGTGAATATGACTACCACTGTAGAGAGAAAATATGACTAACCCTTTTTGACAGCCTTGAAATGAATCTCAGAAAACTGTGTTTCTCATTGTATCTTGTGTGTGTGTGTGTGTGTTGTCCAGCTGGTGGGGAACCTGTTGGACTTCTGTTTCTACACCTTTCGCGAGTCCCAGGCGCTAAAGGTGGAGTTCCCCGAAATGTTGGTGGAGATCATCAGCGACCAGATACCAAAGGTGGAATCGGGCCTCACTCACACAATCTACTTCCACAAGAAGTGACTCGCTGACAAACAGTTGGGACAGAAGCGACATTTGAGAACTGGAAGGTGGTGAGAGAAGAGAAAACGTGCACAGAGGGCCTGAGCAGTTGGCCTGCGCCCTGTCACCCAGTACGCCAGCGTCCTCGTCTCGGAATGGGAAAGTTAAGTGACGTTGTGGCGGAAGTGGAAAAAGGGGGAGACGGATCCGCAGTCACCAAGTGCAGGTCGGAGCTGTGAATAGTCGTGGAGCCAGCGTGACGCGCTGAATAGCACTTGTGACAAAGCATCCCGAAGTACCACCCATGTCCCCTCCCCCCCCCTGCTCCCTGCCCCAAAGACAATAACAGTATTTTCTATGGAGATGAAGCCATACATTTCTTAGGATGCGCTAGATATAGTCACCACGTGCACACACACCCACCCACACACATAGAGGGAAATTGATACACATGTTGTCCACATGCATTCACGCAAACGCACAGATGCACTCCACATGCACTAAAATCAGATTACCTGACGAATAAAAAAAACTTTTTAGCAAATTTTTTGCATATATTAACTGTGGCTTATGCAGTCTTTCACAAATAATAGCACTATTAAAAAAACATGCCAATACTTAGATTTTGCTTTGCAGTGGAGCAACAGACTGCAAGACAACAGGAACATTACGACGAGGCACAGAAATTATAAGACTGTACGGCAAAATGTCTATTTGAATATATTCCAAGGGCTATACAAGCGTCATCACAAGCTTAATAATTACATTCAATCCAACAAGTCCAAGTTTGAAGCTTGATCGGTGTCATAACAGCCATCATCAACATCCACATACTGAGTTTTTAAATTACAATATGTAGGAAAACAATCAAAACTAATATGCAAAGGTCCAAAGCTAACTCTGTTTTGAAATGAAAAAATGTCTCTCTTTGTAAAAGAAAAGCTTGCACGTGAAGCTCCCATGTCATGAAATCACTATTTTTGGCATTGTGTGGAATTAAGACGATATTGACGAGCAATTTTACCGTAGTGCAGAAATGGTCAGGAGTGCTGCAGGACGGGAAAACATGGCGCATTAAAGGAAATGATTTTGGTCGAGTCCGCTGGTAATGGATTTGACTGAGGTGCATCCATAGTAATTGCTGTCATTTGTGTTATCTCCAGAGCAGCTGTCCAAATGTCTGTTTTTACTCGCAATGAAGCAAAACCAGCCCTTTGTGAATCAATACTTATCTACTCTTCCCAGAAATAATAAAAAAGCATTTTATAAAAGTGTGTTGCAAAAGGTTTAGTTTTTGACAAGCCAGTCATTTTACATTAAGGTGCTTCATTTCTACAAAAGCCAGACAAAACATAACATGTACAGTAACTTGTAGAGCAGTCCATTCAATTCACTATATGGATGGACACACAGTTTAAAGACACATACTATGTAAAGTTGATATAATCCAAAATGGAGCATTACTCTACGCAGTGCTTACGGCAAACGGCTAATGTATCAAAACCAGGCAAAGGTGTACAGGTATTAACTTCTTAAACACGTTCTCTTCAGCAGATGTTGTACAGATGTTTCGAAGTACATGTTGATGAATGCTTGATGAAGAACTGTCGGTATAATCACCCCTTTCGAATTTAGTTTATTTCCTTTCTCTTAGCCTCGGGCCAAGTACTTCTATTTTAGGTATAGACCCAGTCATCTGGACCATTAACTCTGTCTCGCACCCCACTGGTTTCTGGGTGGTTGAGGAACACTACTATGATGCTACTGAAAGCGATAGAGCCGCTGGGGGAAGACAAACAGTGTGTGTGTGTGTGTTTGTGTTTGTGTGTTTGTGTGTGTTTGTGTGTGTGTGTGTGTGTGTGTTATTTTCTTCTTTCTGTGCCCTGTGAGTGTGTATTTACATGCGAGTATGGAGCGAGAGTGTGTTTGTGGGTGTGTGGTTTATTCAGTTTTTTTTTCATGGCAAGCATGTGCATAGTTGATCTGCTCTTTCAGCGTGGGTATTATGCATTTATGTTATAGGATTAGCCACATCCTATTTCCACATTTAGATTTGCACAGAGGAGATACAATGTGAAATGAGGCATTAATGCAGCTAGCAGAAATTGTCTGTGTTGATAAGCAACTGTGATGATCTGGGGAAAAGACTTTCTGCATGGTCAACCAGCCTGAAGTTAAACAACGTGACATCATTGGCGGAGCAGGGTGGGATGTTTGTTTTTGCGGCCTCGGCAGTCGAAAAGACGACACTGTGCTAAACTGTGAGGTCTCTCCTGTCGGGGGGGTAACCGCGTGACGGTTGATGTACGAAACCAGGATCACAACTATCATTCGGGACTGTGTGACAATTATTAGGAGGGAGCTGGGGGCGAGAAAGGGGGCAATGTTTTGCGGTTTGATTTTTTTGTGCAGGGGAGGGTAGTGAGGGCGACTTTTTTTCTCATTCCAAATTTAATTTTTCTGAATTAATTCTGGTGTGAAAAAAACAGACTTATGCTTCATCTTTTAGCAGACTTGCTGTATTTTCATAGGTTTTTTTCTATATTATTTTTCAGATACCGGGGCAGGGTATTGCAGATATTTTCTAACTACAAAATTAATATCACATTCCACCATAATAATTTTCATACAGTCCTTTATCAGAAGGGCCTCATTTTACAATCCGTCTATGTCATGCATTATTGTGTTCAAGTTGTGAAGGACCCTTAAGCTAATCTCTCACTGTTTCTTTATTTTGCCCATTTTTTTTTTGTCCTTTTTAAAGGATAAAAACTGTCTAAAGGTTCATAGGATGACTGGGAAAGTATTTTTGAGAGAATTATATTTTGCTGGAAAACAATATTTAAGTACTTTGTCTAAAAATGATATCCTTTTTGTAAAATGAAATGTTAATGCATGCTTTTTGATGAGATGTTTACATTGTATTTAAAAAAGGGAAACTTGTGCCTTTTTATCTCACATGATTTACAATTTTACAGTATATATATTGTAAATAATACAGCAAGTCCTTATGTTGAGTATAGTATAAGACATTTCTACTTTAACCATCTTGTTGGAATATTGGAAGTTTCCCACTCGCCATGTTCTGTGTGTTGCGTCACAGAGAAGAATTTACAATGAGGGTTGGCGGCTGAAAGGGCCAAACGGAGAAATGAATGTATCATACATTGTGAGAGACTTATGGAACTTACTACCTGAATGTTACAGAGAGTAAAAACAGTAAAAAATTAAATAAATACATGGATAAATAAAAAAAATAACAATAATCAAAAAGTATTTCTTATTTTGTAACAAGATGTAAGTGATGGATCATTGAGTTCTTGCTGTTGAAATTATTTCCTAACCCATGACGGTATTGTTGTTGAGCACCACAATAAAATCGAGAAGTCACAAACTATTGAAACTGGGATACGTGATAGAAAGTTCTTGACTTTTCAGTGTGAAAAACACAAAACAATGGATTCATACATTGTCATATTTTACTGTTTTTGACCAGTTGGACCAATTTCACTTACTGACAAAATAAATTTAAATCTCAAAGGTCACAAAATTCTCCCAAATGTAAAAAAACAATAAATCTTAAACAGTAAATAATGATCCAAATACAAACATTACAATCTCCTGTTTGATCCTATGCCCTCCACAAACTGATGGATAATTCAAGGAATAGTTCAATATTTTGGGAAATACATCTTTTTATTTTTTTGCTGATGTTTGTTGGATAATCGTAAAGACTGGTCGCTCAATGAAACAGCTGAGAGCTGCACAAAATCAGATTGGCTGCAAGTGACGTCACCTGAGTCAGCGTTCTTGGATGAAGATGAAAAATAAATGTGAAAGAATGAAGTCACAAATGAAATTCACCCCCCCACCCTGTTCTTATTAGTGGCTACAAACACAACACAAATAAATCACAAACTGAATGGTTGGTGGCATTGACTGTATAAAAAGATGGACAGCATGACTGCTGGCCACAAGTCGAGGAAAGTCACCTTGATCGCCACCTGGTGGTTGGCTGCAGTGCCTGGCATACACCGCACCTCCTTCACGTCAATGATGGGACATGGGTCAAATTTAAGAGTCAAACAAGTGTCATGATTGACAGCTCATGACTCTGGCTGCAAATGCGCAAGATGGCGGCATTTGAGTCTGGGGAATGCAGCTTCATTTCTGGATAGAGGGAGGAAGTGGTCTTTATAAACCGTCTGTTGTTAGGTCAGTTGATCTGAGGGGAATGTAGACACCACAAGAAAGATGAATACAAACAATATGACCGTTCTGCTGGCTTGCTGCATCAATGTAGATTTTCTTTGTCCATTGTGAGTTTAAAGATATTATAAAAGTGAAATGCTAAATCGGTGGCGTACTCTTACTCTTCTCATCTTACCTTCAGTAAAAAGCGGACACCTGTTCAGTGTATCTCCCAAAACATTGAACCAACCCTTTACTGGAATAATCAACAGTTTATTTAATGGTCATTCTAATGAACCATCTACTGTAAACATACATAAAATAAAGTCCACTACTTGAGGAAGCAATGTTATCTCCTTGTAAATGAATTCTCCCATAAGCATGAATGACTCAGAACGTGTCTAACTGCTGTTTGACAGGACACTACTGCGTCACCGTGTACGGACTCACGTCATTGTCATTTTTCTGTTCACAATGATGAATCGGGTGCAGAGAGACTAAGCCATATCTTAAAAATATAGATTCAAATGCTTTTTTTCCAGTTCCAAAAATGACTTTCTACTAAGATGCTTTGTACAATATTTCTCGATCCAGCGAACATGCAGTAGACACCCCTCAACATGAACCAGTGAAACATCTTTGAAACCAGTTACTACTGTATATCTTGATGCAGATATTGCCATACGTGTGTTTGCAAAACAATTGCAAGATTCTAATAAAATTGTTAAAAATTTGATGTGATCTATCTGTGTGTGTCTGTGTGTGTGTGTGTACGGGCTTGTATATGTGTGATGAAAATTACACCCTGAGACAGAAGCGAGGAATGGTGCCCCAAAAAACGCTGTTTGATCTGGATGGATTCGAAACAGCTGCATTTGGTGTCTGGGGAAGATAATGAGCCAAGAAACACATGGAAAAACAGAGATGATGTGGAGCAGCAGCAGGTAGAGCAGTCACAGGGAGCAGAGATGAAGAGAACTACGAGGGGTAAAAAGTGAGGAGAGTGAAAATGACAATGAGAATAAGCATGTGAGGATGAGACTTTTACAGTAAAACGGTGCCTGTGGAGAAAAATCACCATTAACCTTGTTAAAGGCTGATCTGAAAACACGCCAGACTGTAGAGCAGACAGTATTACTCTTTTGCTCTTTTTTTCCCCCTCCGAATCCACAGCCCTCTCCAAATCTCCCCCAGATTTCCAATTGCTTTCACTTGTAGTCGTGCCAGATAAACAGAATCTATTGGATCAGGCTGATTTCACGGCTGCGCCCGCGCACATGGCGGCTTCTGTGGCCCACTTTCTGGGCTGAGTTTTCTTTCTTTTTTTCCCCCTCCACTCTCTCTTTTCATTTGAAATTCACATTTCTCCAGATTCCCACTCAGCTCTCAGCCCAACTACTACATCAAGTCTTATTATGGTTCGTTTTCAGAAGCTTTGCCCTCCGAAGGAACCAGATGAGGAATCAGGAAAGAATGAAGTCAGTGTAACCTCTGCTTTGGGAAATTCAGACACATTCAGGCACTTAGTTGTGTCATTATTTCATAGTTATATCTGCTGCGCTGCGTAGATCGAAGCTGAGTCATGGTGTGGGACAATGTTTTGGGGCTGAAGGACACTGCGTCATGGGATTTAGAGGACAGCTGGCGCACAGCCAGGATTCTGGGAAATATGACATCAACACATCTGTCTGGGTTTTATTAAAAAAACACCCACATCTAGTCTGAACTGACACAGTGACACTAATGTAACTCAGTGTGATGTACAATGATGCATGCAGAGACAGAAATCACCACGAGTGATGCAACATGTATCTCAAGTGATATAAAGGCTGCACACAATCCTCAAATATGAGTCTGACCCGCCCAGATTACCGCTGGGGTTCGTTACGTCACATTCCAAAGCTTAGGAGGGGCAAAATAAATGCAAAGAGCTTAACTGATTTCATGAACAAACTACTATTAGGGCAGCAGAGTAGAACTGGAGCAGCGAGTGATGATTGGAAGAGGAAGAGAAACAGGAAGGAAGGTGAGGAGGAGATAGACAGAGATTTAAATACTCCAGAGACAGACAGGTAGGCTGAGCAACATGGCACGTTTTCTGACAGACAGTCCAAAGCAGAGTGAGAGGCAGGCCGGGCGGATGTCTCTATGATTCAGCAGCGTTTTTTGGCAGAGGGGCGATGATGAAGGGCCCCCGGGGGCGGGTGGTGGAAGTGACAGTGGAGGGGGTATCTCAGCCCAACGCATCAACGCTGCCCCATTTAATTATGTAATCACCACGTCTCTGGCCGCTTCGGGGAACCGGTGGACATACGTGTTTCACTGAAACCACAGCACCAACCTTTATTTATTTATTTCTTTTCTTTAAAGTGGACAAAGTGTGTTTGGTGCATCTGCCCACTTACACTGCAGGTCTGCATGTGGCGGAGGACTGGTGGTAATTATGTAGCTGAGGCCAAAGCAGCAGGTCTGGAGGCCATTCGGTGAATTAATTACACAGACGTGCTCTCAGAATTAACATGCGTGAGGCGGAGATGTTAATGGATCAGGGAGGTGGAGGTGGATTAGCGCGTGTTTTCCTCTGTGAAAGATTACCATCTATTTTTAATCCCCTTTTGGAAAAAAGTTATTTCGGAAGTAGCTTTTAGTCAGATGGACCCGTGCAGGTCAATATGAAGAGGAAGGCTTACATTACACTACACGGCTCAGTGTGGCTGTGGAATGAATCCTCATTTTACCAGTAACTTTATTCTTAGTCTGTGAGAAACTGTGGGCCTTCTTCAGTGACACAATGAATGAGTCATCAAAATGTAGAAATAGTGCTGGATTTCATCGAGGTAAAACTTATCCTGAAATATAAACGTAAACAGTAGACACCTGTTATAACTCAGAACATGGTCATAAATGCTTCTCTTCATTTTCTGTGCTCCAAAGTGTTAATATTTATCAGATATGAACCAGAGATGTTTGTAAGATTTTCTCGATCAGGCTTCATACGTCCATTATCTTTATGTTCTTATCTGAATGACTCGAAGAAAAACCAACGCAGAAACACGACAACATTAAAACTCTAAACATGCTGGGATTCAAACCAGGAACCTTGAGGCATAAGTACTAACCACTGCATCCCAGTGCAGAAAATGTTTTTTTTTCAAGCTTTAAGAATTATTTATCACATTTATTTCATGACAAGAATGCACAGTATAGTAAAGAACAAAAAGAATCTTTATTTGTTTAACATTGATCAAGAGGATACCCAAAGGTATAAAAATGAAAGAAGTCAAGGCCCTTTACAAATGGCTTTAAATTATTGCAACCGCAACTGGAAACACAAACAATGTACTGAACCACAGCTCTCAGGAAAAGTAAAGTGTCTCGTTGAAGAGCTGAGGGATGAAATATAATGTGATGTGCGTACATGCGAGAACTAATCACAGTGAAAACTTAACGGAGATTTTTTAGAACTTACTCGGCAGTCATGACTCTTTTAGGATATATATGTAGATATTTGATGATAAAACTTCTGATCAACTTCTTTCACAAAAGTTGAAGATAAAATTGTGGTAAAATTCAAACAGAAATTCCAACTCTGTGAGAGTGTCTCATTCCTGGGCTCAGAGAAAACTGAGCAGCGTTAAAAAAACAAAAAAACAAGCTTTAAAACAACAGATCATTCTGACATGAAAAATACTTGGTTTTCATCAATACAATCTTTTGAAATCTACCTCTGTAGAATGTGTCAGACGCTACTGTTCAACACAAAAGGCTTCATCGGGCATCAAAGAGGCATTTCACTGTATTTCTGTAAAGGAGTGCACCAAGAACAAAACAGCACAAAGTGAATTTAAAATTCAAAAAAACATGCAATCATTGTGCCAATTACATAAAATAAAATTGCAGTAGCAATGTGCCTCATTCTTGAATATCTAAATAATCTTAAAATAAATGCAGCATTTTTATAAGTGAAAGCAGTAACACTCTCATTCAGTTTCATACACACCTGTACATTTACAGGCGGGGCTGCGGTGGTGAAGGCACGTAGGTATGGCTTATCTCTCAACTAATGTGTGTGCATCATTTGTCAAAAAGGGTGAAAAGCTACAGTGACTTGAGTGCTGACAGTGTCTGAGAATCACTCTTTGACTTGAGAGCTCATGGATACCATGTATAATGGGGCAGAGGGGAGAGCGAGGCCTTCGACAGAGAGAGGCGTCTCCGGTGCTGCTACAAAGTTACCTGGATTTGTAGAAGCGACAGCATCTTTGTATACAGCAGAACATCGTAAGTGCAAGCCCATTTTAGAACTACGAAGCTGAAATTCATGTGAATATTAAACTGCAGGGAATTCAAACAGAGAAACACGCTTGCGCACATGCATCACAAAGTCAACTTGCCAGCGAAACACAGAGTAATGAGTTGTCTGCCAATGATAAACATCACTTGCAGGGAGAATTCAGGGTTTCAGAGGGTTTTTGGATAAACAACGCTCTACTGTGAATGTCAGAGTTGAGGCACATGCATACGTCTGCATACTTTTCCCAGTGAAGGTGATAACTTGTCCATAAATATTTCCATGTGGGGGCTACAGCATCTCCACATAGTTTTCCGGGATGAGGCCCCTCTTTCCCTCCAGCTCCCCCTCCAGCCAGCCCGGCTCTCTCGACTGGGTCACTGCAGGAGAGGACACAGCGTCACCGGGAGGACAGCGCCACAGGGAGGGAGAGGGTGGGGGACACACAGAGGACACAGAGCGGCCAGTGAGTGTATGTGCATGTGTCAGGGTGAACAGAGCAGAGGGTTTAAGGGAGGATGCGGTAACTATGCGGTTTCACCAAACCACAACGTCTCTCATTTTTATTTCTGCTGTAAATCTACAGCCTGTTTCTGAATCCAGCTTCTCTAGAGTTTCACCAGGAGCTGAATCTCAGAGCTCTCACTAACTGTTTAGTATGAAATGTGTCAGTGCACTAAACATTTCTGAGACGTTCCTTTTCAAAATCCTCCCTTGTCTAAAAACCGAGCCAATATGAAAATTTCTGTGCATCCGCAAGTCAATAGATTTGTGGTTAAATAGTCAGTGAGAACTTCGAAGGACACAGTCAAGACATCAACAGACTGAAAACATAGTTTTCCAGTTTTTATGAGTCATTTTGGCTGAACACTGAATATATGAATGAAGCTTTCAAGTGGGAGCAAAAGAAAATTCACTGCAAAGGATTTGAACCTGCTGTCACTTCCAAGTTGACTGGTACTTCACCATGAAACAAATACATCTGAGTTATTAATGTTTTCTGATGATGTTAAAGGCTTTAGGTGAATATA